TTCATAGGCCTGTGTGTCATTACCTTTTTGTGAGTATGTTTGTGCAGCTACAGGCCAAATTCGCTGTGCAATGTCCATCAACAAGAAGGTGCGACTAATAGATGACTGCATTAAGTTAATCAACCAAGTCATGACAAGAGCATTCTCTAATTGCCATTGCTCCTGTCCTGGTCCATCTGTCGTAGGATCCTTAGGAGTTCATGTGATATAACCAGTCAGGCCACGTGTAATAACCAAACTGCAAGATCGTGATCAAATCAGATAGTTGTTGCCATCCAACTTAACCGGACTAATCTGAAGGGATGGGTTATGTTCAAAAGTCCCCACATGACTCAACCCATTTGACTCACTGCATCTGGAAGTCTTACTATTGTCTCCCATGTCCACCGAATAAAAATAGCATCCCTAAATATCAAAATTGGTTCAATCACCTACAAAGCCACAAGGAATTTGTACAAAGAACAAGTTACCCAGACAATAAAACTAAAAAAGGGACCAAATCAGATAAAAAAAAGGGATAAATGGGCCAAAATGTTGCTATTTTAGTTAAAAAAAACCATAAACCCTTAGATCTGGCTAAAAATTCATCAAAATGGATAAAACAACAATTGGGTAAGGGCAAGAAGGTAATTTAGAACCCAAGGGAGCTATTCCAATTATCAGATTGCATCAAACAAGTCAGAATCAAGTATTTTGAAAAAAAAGGCAAAACATTCCAAAAAATAGAAAAAAATGAAAAATTTTCTAGTAATAAAGAAACAATAGTTGTTAATGCTGGTATTTTTTTTTTTAATATTTTTTTTAGGGTTTAGTAAAAAAGGGGAAAAACTATGAGAGGAGTAGACTTACATTGCTAAAAAACAAGAAAATGAAGAAAAAAATATCAACTTAAGGATCAAGCTGTAGTACCAAGTTAAATTATGAAAGAGAGGAGAAGAAAGTAGAGGGAAAAAGAATACGTTTATGATAATAGTGAGAGCTAATGAGAGAATTAGGTTATCTCCCTTAGCCTCATGTATTCATAATAATAAGACTCAAAGTACATAAATACCCCTCATAGAAATCTCTTAACAACATTCAATTCCCAAAAAAAATACAATTTGGAGTCCAATTTTATCAACACATTGTGAGTGGGTATTTTCTTAAGAGATTTGACAATATGGCTAATAGGTTTTGGGTATATGATTAGACTAGAGGTGTTTTTGAGGATTAAAGGATGGGGGAGTTGGGTATTTCAATGGTGTAGAGGGAAGGATTGTTCGTAAGATGTACACATGCATAAACATTTTTCTTCATCTAAATTCTGTGTGGCCTTTGTCACTGCCTTCCTTTTAGACGGTTGTTTTGGTGGTAGTGATAGTGACGAAGATGAATGTGATAAGTCCGCCCTTGATGTTCTTGTTCTTGTTCTTTGATGAAAACCTTATTTGATCAAACTAGCAGTGATTGAATCTATAACTTTACCAAGGCCATTATTTGCATCGTCCATCAAATTGACCTTTATTTACAAGTTGTTCTAATTTTCAATTATCTATCTTGTTAGAGTGCTACTTTCCTATTATGTTACTTTCAAATTATGTCTCTTTCCTATTGTTCTACTTTTCTACTATGTTATACTTTCATAATATTGTAATAGTCTTCAACATTAATCTAATATTAATATGTGATATGGTGTTGGCAACAAACACCCTACACATAATATTGTTTCATACTCTTCTTCCTCTCCTCTTCTTCTCTTTTTTTTTTCCTTTACCCTAACATACATTTATTCAAATTTCAACTTGGTATCAGATCAAGATACTTAGGTGAGTGGGGCTTGACCTTATTTGAGTGCCTCCGCCTTATGGTTGTATCGCCCAACACACATCAAGTTATAGTCGCCTACGTGAATTCGTGTCTGTGTCTTTGGTGTTTGATCATTCGGGCGGACTTTAGTATTTTTTGTTCGATCTACTGTCGATTTAGTAATATTTTACCCAATTTAGGGGTTTTTTTCTGTTTCAATTTCGGTTCAGTGTTTTTAGTCCAATTTAGTGCCAATTCGATAGTTTTCAGGAGAGTTTGGTATTAGTTTAGTGGTTTTCATTGCGGTTTAGTATTTTCAACCTAGTGTAGTTTCAATTATGTAGTTTTTGGGCCAGTTTAGTAGTTTTCATCTCAGTTTAATTCTGATTCAATATTTTTAACTTAGTTTAGTGTCGGTTTATTGGTTTTCGGCACAGTTTAGTGTTGGTTTTGTGGTTGTCATCTAGGTTCAATCTCGACTCAGTGTTTTTAGCCTGGTTTAGTATTGCAACATTGGTTTTGTGGTTTTCAGCACAGATTTAGACCATTTCTAGTTGATTCAACTCCAATTCTACATGGTTTACCCTGTTTCTAATTGTTGCAGTTTTATTTGTTGTAGCTCGTGTTTCATTGTGGTGTTGTTGGTTGTGTTCGTGTTTCATTGTGGTGTTGTTGGTTGTGTTCGTTTGTGCTGATATTGTAGGTGGTCTTGGTGTTGTTGTGTTTGTTCTTTGATGTTACTGTGTTCTTTTCTTCTGAGGTGTTATGATCTTTGTTTGTTTTTATGTCTTTTGGTGTGGTCATTAATTGCTTGTCTAGAAAAACAAAGGGATGTTTTAGGCTTCACATGGAACGACCACCTGAATTTGTTACTCACAGAGAGTATCGTGATAGTGTGTCAATCAAAGAAGTCTCTGAATGATCTAAGTCATCACCCAGAGCTTGGCTTTATCACCCTTATTGTCTACTCAGAGATATTGCCGTCAATTCAATGATTTTTTCACGTGGTCCTTTAGTAGAATTTACTCCAAGCTGGACAGTTTTTATCTCTGTGCTCCAACTTGGGAGAGAGTGTTAAAGTATTACTTTCCTATTATGTTACTTTCCAATCATGTCTCTTTTCTATTGTTCTACTTTCCTATTACGTGGTTTTCCTATGTTATTCTACTTTCACAATATTGCAATTGGCGTCAACATTAGTCTAATATAAACAGGTGACGGGTGTTGGCAACATACACCCTACACACAATAGGAGAGTAGAACTTTCCTATTATGTTATTTTCCAATTATGTCTCTATCTTACTGTCTACTTTCTTATTATGTGGGTTTCCTAGTATGTTCTACTTTCATAATATTGTAATTGTCTTCAAACATCAATCTAATATAAATAGGTGACAGGTGTTGGCAACATAAACCCTACACCCAATATTGTTTTATACTCTATTTCTTCCTCTCTTTCTTTTCCTTTATCCTAGCATACAATTAGTCAAGTTTTAACCTATTTGAAATTCCTTATATTTTTCTGTTATTCTTTCCAGGTTGTGATGGATGCTGTGAATAAGCCTCAAAATATTACGTACAAGGGACTCACTGATCTGGTGACCGAGTAAGACCAATTCTTTGGTGTGTGTTTCAGTGTTTCACCTGTGTTTTGATCACTAACTTTTGTAATATTGAAAAGTGAGGATTTATGGGTTGCCAGTAAAAGTAAATTGATGGATGGAATGTTATCTAGTTATCTATAATATGTTATCATACGTGCATGTATTTGGCTTAATTTCAATTGCATATGTGAAGGATGTAGTCTGTTGGAATTCATCTTTACATAATTATAATACATGTATCTTTATCTTGACTCTTGAGTATAAATTATGTCTCTGTTTTCCTATCATGTTCTCTGATATGATATTTGTCAGCTATGCAACCATTTTAGTTAACTAATGGCCCAAACCTTAAAGAGGTGATAAATACTAAGCATCATCGTGTTGCGGAGGATGAAACATCATAATCGGTGCATGTAGCATGAAAGGAACCAGGTTCCAGACCTCTATTAAATTCTGAGACACAACTGTTACTCCCATTGCTAAATTGATGTACTTTAACTTTCTCTCAGATGAATTTCATTTACTTGTTAATTTGAATTTTCTCTTCATTTTATGGTATGCATTTTGGTCTCTTTTGAAAAGAAACTTAGGAAAAAGAAAACAAATAGTTTGGCTCAAAGTGCTGTGGAAATAAATGGTTGCCAAGATTAGATGGAGCCCAATAGTAAAGTGGGATATTGATGTGGCTGATGCAAAGTGATTTATTTGAAACTGTTAAGTTTAGAGAATAGAGACAGACTTAACACAATATGAGAGACGCAGAGAGTGATTGAACTTAACCTTCCTCTCACTAACACTTGTATTTATAGTTATCTTGTAAACATACAAAGGACGGTTATACCCTCCAAATGGTATATCTATTACAACCATTAAATAGTAATACTCTCAACAAAAACTTATTTGATATTTGTTGTATTCTTTTTTGTTTTCCGTGCTTGTTTTCTAAGTGTTGATTCTTTGGTTGTATACTTTTTGTGATTCTATTTAATTGGTAACCTATTCTTGCAATCTAATGAGAAACGAATCAAATATGGTTGGAGTCTTGCATAGATGCCCTACTCTTATTAATACGTGCTAACGATAAATCGTGAATGAGATCCTACCTATATGTGGAGGATGTGGAAGAGTGATGATGTTCAGATGACAATTTGGTGTGGATACCTGGATATCAATGGCGGTGGCTTTAAAGGTAGTTCACAGTTAAATGGTGTGATGGTATTTAGGTATATTTTGTTCGTTGGAATAAACCATATATCTCTAATGATTTACTAGATCACATTTCTTAATTTTTTTTGTAATAATAGATAACACAACCCACTATACTATAATGCATTTATTTATTGTCATCATAATGTGTGGCATATGTGCATTCATGTCTGTTGAGATTGTATCTAGATATGTTTGGTCGTACTTTTAGGTTTGGGACCATAAATCATTTGACTTTATGATTAACTGCACTACGATCATTGTTATATATTTCATGTTCTCATAGGAAGCATGTCCATTTTTTTTGAGTCACCCGCAGGGTTTGTATTTCTTCTTTGTTTTCTCCCTTCCATTCGTCAACAGGTTTTTTTTTTCTTTTTGAAATTATTTTGGATCTATTTGCAGAACAGATAAAATGAGCGAGGCTGCTATTCTGGAAGTCGTAAGAAGGAATTTCAGTGATCATCTAATTCTTGGGGAAGAGGGAGGACTTATTGGGGATTCATCTTCTGATTACCTTTGGTGCATAGATCCCTTAGGTTTGACTGTCAAAACCCTTGTTATCTTCAAATTAGTAATTTAATGTTATATCCCTAGAAATGTGCGATTAATCTTTGAATTTTAGCTTTTATTATTCTCCATTACCGGTTGTTAATATGTCACAAAAGTTGCTAGCATGATACTTTGACATATTTGAATGTCTAGGTTCTGTGTTCTTGAACTTAATGAGTCATTTTTGGTTGGATATTAGCTTTTGTACTGTGAAATTGCAATACTTGCATAAATAGCACCATTTATTTATCTATTTCTTTTGTGGGGGTAACTTCTACAAGGGGGTTGAAGCCAATCTATGCATAAATTACCTTGATGATAAAGTGGCTTGAGTTACAATTCCAATTCCCAACCTGAATTTATCTCAGCAATCTTTAGCAAGTGATGATATTCTGGTGCATCTCATACCTCCTTTTCCTTACTTATATACCATTTGATAAGGTAGTTTTTTAATTACCTTTGTGCCTTTTTTATTTTTTAAGTGGCTTTTGTTTTAGGCATATACTTTTTTTCAACTTTTTTCTTGACTGGGTTCACTTGGTTTTTGTATGCTTAGATGTGTTGGGAGTTGTCTTTATTATTTTTCATATGCTTTAAAGAATAGTTTCATCTTTATAACAGTATTTGTATAAATAATGGAACACAAGGACGAGAACCCTAATGCCTCTTCCTTTTTAGTCATACACAAGAATCAAAATTTCGTTTCGATACATTGTTTTGGTCACCTAGAAATGGAAACATTTTGAAGTGTTTCATAAATGTTTTGACCCATTTCGAAAACAAAATGAAAAAAATAAAAAATTTAGGAATTATTTATCCAAAACATTGGTCAAAATATGCCAAAAAATCTTGAAATATCTTGAAACATTCTGAAACAATTATACAAATGCATTGAAACATTGCAAAACACTTCGAAAACATTATAAAACACCTCGAGACATTAGAATTTCGATTCTATCACTAATTCGTTTTTGGTCTCCTTGGAAATGGAAAAGGTTCGGACGTTTCGAAATGAAATTTTGATCCGTGGGCATACACTATATTTCTCTCCTTTTTCTTTATGCTCATTCTTCCTCTTTCTTCCATTACTCTATAAGAAAACCAACATGTTATTAGAGCACAGTTAGGCCTTAATCACTGCTGTACGGGGAAATAATAGTTGTTGACGTCGGCCCAGTCAACTTGGAGGGTAAATTACACCACAAAATTTTGGTCGAGTTCATTTAATACATTTTTCAAATCTTCAATGTTTCGAATTTTGGGCCAATTTCTCCGAATTTCACTTCCCGGCCTCTTTCGTTGCAGTTTTTTCGCATGAATCTGGGACCAGAGGCCTCCATATGTACATACTTTTTGAGCAATATTTGAGGAGCATAGTTGTTAATATACTTACGATACACAATACGTTTCTTATGATGTGTTACGATCCATAGAAAGACGATACATATCGACGATAAATATATTTTTCATTGTATCGGACAATTTGCGATATGTATACATTTCGATACCGTGAAAAGACTAATACACACAAGATAAAAAATTTTTGTACTTTTTTTTTTGCTTTAAACAATGACATTGTTTCCAGTAAGTTATTTTTTCTTTTTGGTTTGATCTCAAAAATAGTCCGCGATTATCAAACAGACAAAACTGTAGCTGTATTTTGATCTATATCATAGAATTGAATGTATCTTACGATGCACGATACAATATTTTTCGAAAATGATATGCGTTGCGATACACGTTTCAACAACCTCGTTGAGGAGATTAAAGGCAAAAGTTGTGTTGCAGTTTTCTTAGGGCTGTAGATGGTGTGACAGTCTGGTTTTTGTCTGTTGTGGGTATTTTGATGATATTTATGCCTGGGACTCTTCCCTATTTCAGTGATTTAGTTATTCCTTTGAATTTTTGCTTTTCTCTATAGGTTTTTTTCCCTTTTTTCGGTGGATTTGGAGTCTATTGAGGCATGTTTGAGAGTGCCCAAGATGTCAGAAGACAGTGAGGTCACCCAACACGAACAAAAAGTAGTGGGTCAGGTTGGAAGCCTTTGGAATCCACTCTGAGATCTTACTCGCCAAACTACAACCATGGAATTAGATGGGTTAATTAAGTGGCTTATACTTATTCTGTGATGATCTTTATTAAGAGTAGTGAAAAGATGCACTATCTGAATGGTAAGACGAAACAATTTCAGTGGGATGATCTTTTGTTTCAGAAGTGGAAAACCAAAAATTCCACCATAATGTCTTGGTTATTACTTTGATGGCTAGAAATTAATGATGAGAAGGAAATTTGAGATGTGGTTGCACAAACCTAGTCAATGATGTTGGAAGATGTTTTATTATTTGCCTTAAGAGAATGAAATTATGCATGGAAAACATAGATCACTTATGCAAATGGTATATCCGAGTACAAAGTTAAGGTTGGTCAAAGTAGTGTCCCAACTAAAAGAAGTGTCAAATATTAAGGTCTCTAGTCACACCATTACCCAGTAGGGTCCGTTTGTCCTTCCCAAGGATGGGGTGGACCGACTATCCTCTAGTGACACTTATTGTCTAACATTATATAATAAGAGGCTTATAAATCATGCCTTGCTTAAGGATAACCAACAAACACTTTTATACATATCCTCATATGATAAACTTCACCTAAAGTTATATATCATATTAACAAACTTTTTCTCTCACGAGGATATTTAGTACAAGCTATTTAGCACTACTTAAAATATTTCACTATGCAGGGTCCGTCTTCTTCTTAACTCTAGACTATACAGTGGATCGACCATGACGTCAAACACCTTAAACACCAAAATTAACTGTGGAGGTGTAAGCTTTACAATTTGCTTAGTGAGCTTATGCTAGCATTATGTAATACAGAAACAATAAAACAAGTATGGATCAAACTTTGAGCAATAAACAACCCTTCCATCACCCTTAATAAACAATTAATAATGAAGTATAGAAATCAAGTTGTAACTAACAACTACTTCACTTCAAATTATATCTCATCTTTACAAAATATAATCAAAACGTCAAGAGATTTTATTCACAAGTCAAGGGTCGTTTTCCCCACAACTAAGTTAAGACAGTACTATAACATCAAACCTCGGTTCAATCCATTGATATTGATCAAGTAGAGGGCAATTCATTATCGTCAATGATAGAGGTCCTCCAACATCCTCCTAGTTTTATCCAGTGAGACAAGTAACTCCTTTCCAAATACTCCCATATAATAGGGCCAATGTGAATATCAAAACATCGATACCTTAAACAAACATTTTTTCAGAAAATTATCATGATTCATAGATACCAAATAAAATAGTTGACCATTATTCATAAAAAAACATATAAGGAATTCACTATTTATCAAAAACACAATTGTAAGCCACATAAACATAGGTGATTTAGTTTCCAAACTATATAAAATAGTATACTCGTAGTAAGCACCCCACACACTAACTCAATTTTTGGCACCGGGTTCACTACTAGTGACAGTAGTTGAAGCAGTCTTCTCGACACTTGGGACAACATGTTCCATAACCCTATTAAGTATTATTTTTAAATATAATAAGTTTAGATAAAGTTGTAAATCCTAGGATTTGAAAGGAGAAGAAGAGAAATTGAAAGAAACAGAGAAGAATAATCTGTGTAGGCTACGTTGCCCTACACTATCTTATTTATACTAAATTGATATTATGAGAATTACAATGCTACCCTTCATTACTCAAAATATAAAATAAGAACTTTGATACTCACCCTCAAGTTGGAGCATAAAAGGTAAAAGATGTCCAGCTTGGAACAAAGATTATTGAAGATAGATCGAGCTAATGGTTTGGTAATGATGTCATCGAGTTGATCACTAGACTTGATGTATGGTGTGATAATTTTCTTACACATCAAGCGATCTTGAATAAAATGACATCCACTTTAATGTGTTTGGTTCTCTTATGAAACACTAGATTACTGGCAATTAAAATAGCTAGTTGCCTGGTTGTCACAATGCATCTCCATAGTACAAGGCATATTGATATCCATATCATGAAGGAGAGAACGAATCCACAACATTTCACATGCAGTATGGGTTATAGCCTGGTATTCATCCTCAGCACTCGAATGGGTAACCACATTTTGTTTTTTTTTACACCAATAAACGTACAGTAACCTAAGGTGGATCGTCTATCAATACGACTAACTAACCTAGTCAACATCTGAGAAACTAGTAACAATTATGGATGATGAAGGATGATATAATAATCTTTCCTCTAGTACTCCTTTCAAATACTGAAGAGTACGATAGATGGCCTCCCAATGAGACTTATAAGGGGCATGTATGAACTGACTAACCACACTAACAACAAAGGTAATATTAGGACATGTAATTGTAAGATAAATCAGCATACCAACTAACCTTCGATAGTGCCCTATATCATCAAAAATCTCCCCACTCTCAGCATCTAATTTAATTATAGAGTCCATAGGAGTATCAACTAGACGTGCACTAATAGTCTTAGTTTCAAATAATAAATCCAGTAGGTACTTTCATTGGCACAAATTGATGTCTTCTTTCGATCGAGCAACTTCGATCCCAAGAAAGTGTCAAAAAATATCTAAATCCTCGGTATAAAATTGCTTTCTCCAATGGACCTTGAAGTGGATAATACCAACTGAGTCATTACCACCAATGCTAATGTCATCAACATACGCAATAACAATAATAACCCTTGTGGAAGAACGATGAATAAAAACTGAATGGTCTAAAGTAGAATGCAGAAAACTATAATGAAGTACAACAATACTAAACTTATCAAATCAAACACGTGGTGATTGTTTCATTCCATATAGTGCTTTTTTCTAGACAAAACACTAATTGTTCTTTACTAGATACAATATAACCTAGAGGTTATACCATATATATCTCTTCCTGTAGATCTCTATGTAAAAAAAACAGTTTTAATGTCCAGCTGATACAAAGGCCAATCACAACTAACTGCAACAGAAATATGAACTCTAACAGAGTTAAAATGAGTAAAAGTGG